CCACCACCAGTGTGCACTCAATACAGACAAGGGTGAGGACCTGCATTGTTCAAAATTTTTGAGTTTGTCCTTCTCTGGATGCCTTTGTTTCCCTTCCTTAATCACCTCTGATGCTGAGCCCCTGGGGTCCACACCACGGATGGAGGGCTCAAGAGGTGGCAGCCAGGCCCTTGCCCAGCCAGGCCACACCCAGTGTTATGGGCACCTTGTGCTCCAGCTTGACCAGTAGCCTGGGAGGCAGATACCAAGACAGTGGAAGGAATGGGACTGTGAAGCTGAGCTAATATTTGAGACTTCAGCCTGGGCCTTTGGAAAGGCCTGGGAGTGAGCTGAGATCTGTGGACAGCATACCACCACCAGTTATTGTCAAGTCAGTCCTGATTTGTGCTAGTTTCCTGTATGGTCAAGAGTAGAAAGCACGTTTTTCACCTGCCCTGATCACGAAGCTTTCCTTCCAGAATGTCTCCAGGTGGGTTCCAACAGCGAACCTCTCAGTTAACAGCTGAGCGTGTTAGCCATTTCTGTCCCCCAGGGCTTCCTCCCAATCTTTAACATGGGACAATGGTCCTCATCCTTCCAAGGAGGTACAGGGAGGGGGGCAGGAGAAGCTAAGTATACATGGTTCACTCTTAGAACAGGACCTGGTACATGCTTTCAATAAGAAAGCCCCCAAGGAGATGACAGCCAATGCTGGCCGTCTAAGTTCTCTGGTGCTGCTATAACGGAAACATCAGAAGTAGTAGATGCCTTTAGCAAATGACTTTTCTCATGGTTTGGGAGACTAGAAGTCTGAATTTCCGGTGCCAGCTAGAGGGGAAGGCATGTTATATCTCTCTCTCTCTCTCTCTCTCTTGGCTCTGAGGAAGGTCCTCATCTCTTTTCGGTGGTTCTGGTGTTCCTTAAAGATCTCCATGTGTCTTGGTATCAACATTCCCTTGGGTCTATGAGGTTCTCAGCACAGGGATGCCTGCCCCACTCAAAGGACACTCGCTGCTCCCAGCTCTTCTTTTCTGGTGATGCTGAGGCCTCTCCCTCTCTCTCTGCTCAGTCCTCCCTCCTCTGAGCTCTTGTAAGATAAAAGGTGATGCAGATCATGCCCCAGGGATATTCCCCTTTCATAGATCACATAGGTGAGCTGAGTGAAGGGTTGCATCCCTGCTAATATCTTTCTGATTGCTTGATTGCATCAGAGCCCAGCACTGAGGATGGTAATATCATCACAAAATAGCCAAGCTGCTGTGCATCACAGCCCAGCCAAGGGGACACATGTTGGGGAACACAACTCAATACAGTGACAAAGAGGGTCTGGAATGCAGACAGGTTTGTAAGGTCCTTGCTTTGGTCTCCTCTTGATGACAAGGTCAGGCATGTGTCAGAGCTTGCCCCGGGGGATTTTCCAGGCCTGACCGAGATTTCCAGAGAGCCCTTTGCCTTAAATCTAAAAAAAAAAATCCCACATCTGCCTTTTAATTAATTCTGACTCATGACACCTCATGCGCTATGGAGTAGAACCTCTCCACAGGATTTGTTCTGGCTTTGTCTTTGCAAAGTCCCTGGGTGGTGCAAATGGGTAAGCATCTGACTCGTAACCAAAAGGCTGGCTAGCCAAACTCACTCAGAATCACCTCAGAAGAAAGACCTGGCTCCCACTTCCAAAGACTCAGCCACAGAAAACTCGATGGAGGAGAATTTGAACCTAACTTACATGGTCTCACCAGGAGTCAGAAATTGCTTGATGCCAACTATTTTGATGGTGAGGGTTTGTTTTTTGTTTGTTTTTTTGTTTTGTGTGTATGTGTGCGTGTGTGTTTTGGTGGGATTTTTTTTTTATTTACAAAAATAGTTTGCTAGGCTTTTTAAAAAATTGGTTTATAAGTTATCATTCATATGTTGTTGTTCAGTGCTGTAGAGTTGAGTAAGACTCATAGTGACCCTGTGAACAACAGACCTGAACCCTATCTTAGCCTGAGCCATCCTCGCGTGTCCTGACACACTAGAGCCCGTTGCTGTAGTCACTGTGTCAATCCGCCTGGCTGAGGGTCTTCCTCTCCTTCACCACGCCTCCACCTTTCTGAGCATCATTTCTCTCTCCAAGAAATAGTCCCTCCTAACAACAAGCCCAAAGAATGTGAGGTGCAGCTTTATCATCTGTGCCTCCAAAGAACACTCTGGCTGCACCCCCTCAAAGCCTTATCTGTTCATTCTCTTGGCCGCCCACAGCATGTCCAGTGCTCTTCTCCAACACCACAGCTCAAAGGCATCAACTTTTCTTCTGTTCTCAAACTGATATGACTGCTATTGTTCATATACATTACGGTTTTTATTTACATTGTTTTAC